TTATCGTATTAGAACGTTCTAGAATTATTTCATCTATAATAAATACGCTAATTATCCAGTTCCAACGACCATAAAAGAAAATGAATTCATGCATTTTTAAACATTTTACGGCGTTTTTCGATTGAATTACGTTTTTTTTTTTATTTCTGTAAAACATTTATTTACTTTTAATAAAACTGACAGTCAAATGACATACGAACTTACAGCCTATGTGGTGGTAAGTGGTTACAGACATGAACTTCTACAACCAAATTAAAACAAAGGCAGCTAAATTTGCGTTGTCACCTGTGAGGTCACACACTTCACAGTGTGTAATAATACTGACTCTCTACACCCCTCAATCCCAAACTTGTTTGAGAAATATCTAAGAGCATACAAGTAACAAACGAGCACACAGTCCACACGATGGTAAGTGGATGCTGTAGCTCATGGATTCCAACATCATATCATCAATTAAGAACCAAAATGCAAATGCGTTGTAACCCCTGAGGACTAAGATGAAATGCTACATTTCAATGAGGACATCCACGACTTTTTCTGCCACCAGGGCGGCGCCACTTAAAAGTGAGGTATAATATTTGACAGATATCATGGCGGGAAAGTGAATTTGTTCGGAAAATGTAAAGGTTAATGTTTCTTTCTGTGGTAATAGCTATATTTGATATTAATAAGATTAAAAATAAATAAACCAAACCACAGATATTCATAAAAGTTATAGAAAAATTATAGAGCAAGCCACGGAGGCATTATTTTGTGTATTAATATAATACTCTAGAAACTGATAAACTTTTATTAAAAACTAACTTCTCAATTAAATTACAGTAACGAAAAACTTTACCTCATTGTCAACTAGCGACATCTGGTGAGTAGAAAATTATTAGCCCTCATTAAAAAGAGTCACCGGTTCTCTACACCATACGAAAGCAGCATTGAGGAGCGTGGTCGTTCCCCGGTCGAGCCGACCTATTCGTGCTACAACCATAACATAACAACAGCTTGGCTCTGCCACGTTTTATTGCAGCTATAATGGCGCTGCAGAATATATAACCAAAACCACAGAAGATAAGGCAAGTGACGCATCAGCAAATCAACACTCTTCTCCCTTCTCTAGATTGCAGAGGTCAGGATAGAGTTAGAGAGACTTTAATAGTAATTTAGTGTCATCTTCATAATTTAAATAAATAAATAAATAAAATAAAATAAAATATCTTTATTTCAGGCAACACAGGACCCATACAAGAATGTAACATAAGTAACAGTGAAATGAAATAAAACTTAAATTATAGTGTTAGTAATTAAATTAATTTACATAAATAATGATGACAAAATGTAAAATGTAAATGGAGATGTTTGAGACCAGCCGCCACGAGGGTACCGGTGACTTATACCGTGGCATGTAGCCGTATCCAGCGCTCAAGCAGCGGCGAGTCCCACCTATCTGCCATTGTGTTGAGAAGGCTATTGGAGCTGCCACGCAAACGTTTCAGCATCGATGCAGCACGCTTTCTAATAATGGCGTGGAAACCATCAGTGCGCATTTCAGAAAACATTACTGACGCGCTGCAAAAGCGCGGCAGCCCCATCAGCATCCTAAACCCATTATTATACTGGACACGCAAGGCGCTGTATACCCGCTGCGTATAGTTAACCCATAGGTTGCCCGTGTAAAAAGACTGGCAGTAGGCTTTGAAAATAGTAATCTTTACCTGCCTACTGCAACGAGCAAACCTACGAGCCACCATGTTACACCTAATGGACAGCGCCCTACGTTCCCGCTCGATATCCATATTATCACGCAGATCCTCGGTGACCCAGTGACCCAGATACTTAAAATGTGAGACACGCTTTAGAGGTGAGTTGTTGAGTGTGAAGGTAGTCGCACATGGTCCGGATTTCACTCCCGCCTTGAACAACATAAACTCACTCTTTTTCACATTGTATCTGAGTCCATGGGACACTGCATATGCTTCACATATATTTAATAATTTCTGCATGGCACCAATCGAAGGGCTGAGTAGCACCATATCGTCTGCGTAACTTATGTTGTTAACACAAACACCATCAATATGACAGCCGACATTTGTGCCGCTCAACTCCTCGATCAGGCCATTGACATACAAATTGAAAAGCCTAGGAGATGTAAGACCACCTTGCCTCACCCCACATTCAAGTCTATACACATCGGAGTATGTGTATAGAATTGATGATTTAAGCAGAGTTAATTATTAATTTGTTTGTCTTTCCACAACTATTGTTTGTATGTAAATTTTTATAAAATGACTTTGTTATTAGGCAGTAATTTTGGTGTAAATATTTAAGTAGACTAGTGGTCGGAATTTGGCCGTAATTTATATTTTTTATAATTTATATTTATAATTGTATAGTTGTAGCACGAATGGGTTGGCTCGACCGGGGTAAGGACCACACTTTCACAGAATACCAGCGTAAATAACAGCTTAACGCTGCTGTGTTTCGTATCGTGAGTGTAGAAAACCGGAAACCCTTTTTACTGGAAAAGAGGCATTCCATCTTAGTTCTCTCGGATGACAACGCATCTACTCTAAACGAGGATAGATGTAGATCTCTATTAGCACTTACCATCAGGTGGACTGTGTGCTCGCTTGTCACCCTTATGCTGTAAAAAAAATTACGTAGCTTATTAAGCTGTATTTCAATTTCAACTGTAACACTGAAACACCGATATCTTATACACATAATGTAAAATGAACGCTTTTTAGTGTCTAGGCTTGACATACACTACTAAAAAGGAACATTTGAAATCACACAAAGTTTAGTAGCAATTACTTTTGGCAACCTTTTAAAATTCTTTGTTGACAATCTCTACTCTGTGCGACTGCTTGATCACAGACTATTATGTGTTTAACAATTGACATTCCCAGTTCGAATGTAAGCACTTATTATTTCCTTTTTTAATGTAATGTATTTGTAACACATGTTACATATAAATTTTAGCTTAGTCCGATCGTGCATAGAGTATTGCTGCCATATATGGGTTGGTGCTGCTAAATACTACTTAGCAGCTTTGGATTCAATGGAAAAACGTGCTAAGAGGCTTATTGGTGACCCGAATTTGCTTGAAACTAATCTTACCAGTCTCAAACACAGGCGCAAAGTAGCCAGCCTTTCGGTTTTCTACAGGATGCATTTCTGAGAGTGTGCGCAGGAATTGCATAATTTAATTCCTCCCTCTCCCTTCCACCATCGGACAACCAGACGTTCAGCCACTCTCCACCCCTTCGTTGTTGACTTACGGTGCATTCGAACTAAACGGTGTGCTACATCGTCCATCATGCGTACAGCAAAGGAGTGGAATAAGTTGCCAGCATCTGTGTTCCCATCCGATTACAATGTAGGCGTCTTCAAGGCAAGAGTGAATAGGCTTTTGTTAAGTCAGTGCGCTTCACCATCTTAGGCTACATCACCACTTACCATCAGGTGGGAATGTATTTAAGCGCTGACTTAGAATAATATTTAAATAAACATGCATGAGTGTCGTGAAACACCTCGTGCCTTTCGTAGTAGGTATATTATTAATTAATAAATACAAATAAATGAATTACTAGAGTCTAATTAAGTGATAAGAAAAAGTGCGAGAGAGGTGGATATTATTCCATCTCGCTTCCTTATAGCCATCAAGGCTACACTACGACAGAAGGGGTCGTGACGGAAAAATCTTACACTTTTTCTCGCCATTTTCTGCCAAATTCGTACCGTCTGATAAGTAACTTCGTTCCAAAAGCTTTTTGCACTCCTTCTCCATATAAACGTCTGTGCTTAATATCACATTCCTCCGTCCGCGCTATAATATGCTAAAAGTTTTCTATTTTCGTATTAAGATATAAATATTCAGAGGTTAGAAAAGATATAAAAGTATTATAACGTCGCCTTAACATAAGTTTTAAGCTATAATCTAAATTGACTAGTAATTTTAATACACCAACATCAGTGAAAATTATATTCTAGTCGCATACTCCTTCTTCACAATGAACGAGAATATAACTCTAAAGCATTTCTTTCCTTTTCAAGAGATTGTTATAAAAAAAAACTTGAAAAATTAAATTACATTTTTCGAAATTTTTATTATACATTCCGCAAGTGACATTACTTCGAATAATTTCCGTCGGAGGAAAATTACTGTCGCATTTTTCCTACATTGAAATTCGTAATTTATGGCATCATCATTAAGCTATGAATTTTTAAATGGATGCGCCGGAAGGAACAAGACTTCCCTACTCATTTTATATTTATATGATAATATTAACAACGATCTCTAATTTAGTAATAATGTATCTAATGTGAAAACATAAAAATTACAGCTTATATACGTCACACTGTTGGGCACAGGCCTCCCTTCACTTCTGAGAGGGTATTAGGACAAGGAAGCTTGTTGGTGGACTTCACATGTCTTCGAAATATTAATTTTCTCAGACATGCAGCTTTCCTATCGATGTTTTCCTTCACCGCCGAGCACGTGGTAAATCAGCACTTAAAATTGCACAATTTCATTAGTGCCGGCGGCGATCGAACCAGGTTTACTCGAGTGAAAACATAACTAATACTGTTTAATATAATTTAGTATATATTACTAGACAGGTAGACCAGGCAAGCGACAAAAGTAAAATCCCAGAAGATGGGCAGCAGCGTCTTTTTTATAGAATGAGAATGACAAGCGAGCACACAGTTCACCTGATGGTAAGAGGACGCTGTGGCCCATAGACCTTTATCTTCGATATAGAATCAAAAAGCATAGTAACCCATGAGTACTAAGTACCTCGTTTCAAGAAAAATGGGTCTCTGGTTCTCTACACTCAACATAACAAACACAGCAGCGTTAAGCTGCTATTTTACGCTGCTATTCTGTGAAAGCGTGGTCCTTCTCCGTTCGAGCCAACCCATTCGTGCTGCACCCACAATATAGCTGCAGCATGGTTCTACAACATATAACATTAATCTTCTTACACAAGCGTTGTTTGTTGCAGGAGGCGGAATCAGCGATCACAGCCATGAACGGACAATGGCTCGGCTCGCGGTCGATCCGCACCAACTGGGCGACGAGAAAACCTCCGGCGCCGAAGAATGAACGTGAGTACCGCCGTTATAAGTCTTTTATATCAATATATCTTCGGCAACTTCTCCTAAGTGAAATAGCAGGATCAACTCAGCGTTCGAAACTAACTTCTTTTTCACTATCGTAATTATAACTTAGTCATAAATAACTGTGTAGCGGCGGTGTAAGGATATTCACTACACCATATTGTTCCGTGCTTGTCGTAAGGCAGCGACAGACTCGGAATAATGGAAAACTGCGGTTGACATTGAATCAACTGCGCCACCATATTTTTTATAGGATAAGGGTGACGAGCATACAGTCACCTGATGGTAAGTGGTTAGTGTGGCCCATAGACATCTACATCTATCCTCGATTACGAATCAAAATGCAGATGCGTTGTCACCCGCGAGGACTAAGATCGAATGCCTCGTTTCCAGTAAAAAGGATCATCGGTTCTCTACACTCACCATACGAAACACAGCAGTGTTACACTGTTATTTTACGCTGGTATTCTGTGAGAGCGTGGTCCTTCTCCGGTCGAGCCGACACATTCGTGCTACAACTGTACTACTAATATAGCTGCAGCATGGCTCTACCACTATGAAATCTTGTAATGTATATTTAATAAAAATGATTCAATGAATATAATTTAAAATTAAAAATTTTGTACAGCCGACTTCAATATAAGTTATTTAAGAATAACTTAAAAACTATTGGTCTGACCTTGATCAAATTCATATGGGACCACACGAGAAGTACCAGCTTTCAAATAAAAAAAGAATCATCGAAATCGGTTCACCCAGAAAAAAGTTCTGAGGTAACACACATAAAAAAAAACGAAAAAAAAAAACATACAGTCGAATTGAGTACCGGCTCCTTTTTGGAAGTCGGCAGAAAATTTATAATTTTATAGATTACATGATTATTATTGAAAATCATATAAACTTTTACCACGGAATTATCACTGCCTTAAAAAGAACCAGCAAGAACTATTTTTAAACGTACTTTCATATTAAGATAACCTGATCTTTATTTATTACTTTATTTTATAGATTATAGTATAAATTCAACAATAATAAATAGCTTTGTTCCTGTGCGTGTGATTTCCTGTCTAATTTAATCATTTTAATTATTCTTCTTACCGTGATAAACACACAAGATATCCTAATTTCACGAATTCAGTTCTAGAACAAGATCCCTGTAAATGTTAATTTAATCAAATCGCTGAACCGAATACCATAGCTCTTGTAACGTAGCGTACGTCGGAGATCTCCTCCGAGCTCCGAGGAATCATTACGTCGGGCTGCATGACTGAGCTCTACGATTATTGCTTAGTAACGTGGAATTGCGAGAGGTTAAGTGCAGGGGGGGGGGGGGAGGTAAATTGTTACCAAACGTAGACATTGCACTATTGTTAGTTCTATATGGGATATGTTGCTTTAGTGTGTCTTGTTTTATAGAATTAGGATGACAAACGAGCACACGGTCCACCTGACAGTAATATTCTTTTCGCTTTTTAAAAAAACATAGCTTCTACACTAGGATTTTTACCTGTATGCAGTTTACATACATAAATTTTACAAGGACAAACATCCAGACTCGGAGCAATTATTTGTAGGCCATACAAATACTTGTTCCAGATTCGAACCCGCGGGCCTTAACGCTAGAACTCATTACTAAGTCACTGCGCCACGGGGCTGTCAAAGTAAAAGCTTTGATATATATAGACTAAATGTAATAATATCGACTACCTACATCTGGTTTAGATTTAGAAGCAAAATGCACACGCATTGTCATCACTAAGGGCTGAGATTTTAATACGTGGTAGAGCCATGCTGCAGCTATATTTCTGGTATAGTTGTAACACGAATGGGTTGGCTCGACCGGGGAAGGACCACGTTCTCACAGAATAGCATCGTAAAATAGCAGCTTAACGCTGCTGTGTTTCGTATGGAGAGTGTAGAGAACCGAAGACCATTTTTACTGGAAACGAGGCATTCCATCTTAGTCCTCACGTGTGACAACGCATCTGCATTTTGATTCGTAATCGAGGATAGATATATAGATGTTGATGGGTCACAGCAACCACTTACCATCAGGTGGACTGTGTGCTCGTTTGTCAGCCTTATCCTATATCCTAAAAAAAGATGGAATATCTCGTTTCCAGTAAAATAGGTATTATAGATCATACCATACGAAAAACAGCAGTATTAGGCTGCTATTTTCTGTTGCTCGTTTGTCAACGATGCCGTTACCGTTATATCCTATCAAATTCAACTGCAGAACACAGTCCTCCTCCAAAGGTTGCATGATAGGGGAGATATTTGCCACAGTTGTCACGGTTGGCAAGCGGGTTAGCTACCGCAGTTTTTTTATTTTTAATCGATATTAGGAAGATGCCGCTGCCTATCTCCCGATTTGTTTCCATCTGTCGTCTCTTACGACACCCACGGGATGATATGGGTAGTAGATATTCTTACACCGCCACTACACAAGAAAGGAGTAAGTATTTTTTTTTTTGCTCGTTACCCAGATAGAACATTAAGTAAATTTATACGTGAAATTCGTTCCTTGTAAAAAAACGAAGGATTCATTAATCAAGATCGGATCTGATTAATTCCTTCACGTCTTCGTTAACGAATGCCTTAGGGATTTAATTATTACAAAATCTATTTTATCTTGAAAGATGAAATCTCGTAGCCCAGCAGTTTGAGATAAAGAATTACCTGGTTAAACTTTTTTTTATAGAATAAGGGTGACAAACGAGCACACAGTCCACCTGATGGTAAGTGGTTGCTGTGGCCCATAGACATCTACATCTATCCTCGATTATGTTTCTTTCTGAATATTAGTTATATTTTTAGATTTAGAGTTTTATATATAGATTAGAAATTGATAAATCAAACTAAAAAACTTATAGATGTAGGTATAAAAAAAATTAAAGAATACAGCACTTAGGCATATTTTTGTATATTTGTAAATAAAAAATATATTGGTGAACAACTCCTTGTTAAATATATTGATCAACTACACAGATCTACATATTTTGACAACCTCGCGACGTAATTCGCTATACGATATCCGTATATTTAACTCATTTTTTAATGACTTGTGGGTTGGAACGTCTTTGTATAACTACGTCCAATTATATTCATGTTTCGTATTAAATTTTGGGTAAGTTTTTTGTTTTCTTTTTGTTAAAATTGAGTAGTTCCGTTGCAACACCCAAAACTCTGCAAAATTTATACTGAGTTAAACTTTGATCTTCAATAACTTTTAAACCATTTAGTCTATCGAAAAATCATAACAAACATTTTTTTAGAGCGTTCAATTTCTACGTAATGACTGTAAAGCATTATCTTTCAAACTTTTGTTTGGTGAGTTACAAAAATAAATTATCGTTTTTTTTTAATCACTCTATTATATACATACACTATAAACTGAAGAAACTTGTGATTAAATCGCAACTCTTCACTGATGATAACCCTGTGTGACTATCTGCGTAACAAACAAGTTCATCTTAGTCCCAACTAACGCCATCTGGTGAGCGTAAACTTAGCAGCCCTCATTTACGTGGCAGAATCATATCGTGACGTATTATACTGGCCGGCAACGCACCTGAAATTCCCCTGGTGTTGCGGTTGTTCATGGGCGGCGGTAGTCACATACCATGTGTGTGGTGTACCGTATGCTCGTTTGCCCCCTCTCCTTTAAAAAATTATTGTAGCTCGAATGTGTTGGCTCGACCGGCGAAGAACCACGCTTTCCCAAAACACCTGCAGAAATACTTACTACTTACTACTCAATGCTGTTGCGCTTCGCATGGTGACAAGTAATACGAAGCATAAAACAGAAAATACACTTTAAAAAATCCTTTGCGGCAGCTTGCAATTGAAAAATAGATCGGTCTCAGTGATAGCACCACAGTTTTTCCTCCCACCCATACCCCGAGTCAATGGCCGCGTGAATGCTCGCTCTTAACATGCCCGTAAATTAAAAAACAATATATAACTGCAGTTGTAGCAGACTAAGCTTTATATTAGAATAGTATGTGAATAAAATATCTATATTAATATTATCAACGAAAAACTAAGTTTTTTTTATAGAAAAGGTTGACAAACGAGTACACAGTCCACCTGATGGTAAGTGGATGTAGTGGTCCATAGATTTTTTTTTCTCTTTATCTATATCTATAAGCGATAAAGAATCAAATTGTAGATGGAATGTCGTTTCCAGTTCAAAGGGTCTCCCAGTTCTCCACACTCACCATACGGAACACAGCAGCATTAAACTGCTATTTTAAAATAATTTCAAATAAAAATTTTGTACAACCGATTTCGATATAAATTATTGAGAATAACTCAAAAGCAGTTGGTCAAACCTTGATCAAATTTATATAGGACCAAATGAGAAGCACCAGCTTTCAAATAAAAAAAGAGTCATCGAAATAGAGTCACCAGAAAAAAGTTATGAGGTAATACACATAAAAAAACATACAGTCGAATTGAGTACCCCCTCTTTTTTGAAGTCGGTAGAAAATAAGTTGTAAAAGGAAATTGGCTCCGCCATTGTGCAGTGACTAAACACTTAGCTGTGAGGCTGCTGATTCAAATCCAACACGAAATAATAGTCTGTATGGTCTAAAACTAATTGTTCGGTGTCTAAGCGTTTATCTATATGCGTAAGAAGCTTTGAAATGTTAGTAGCGAACAAAGGTACTGACAGCAAATTCAAAAAATCATGGATTTGAATCCGCTATTCGCCTACTGAAGTGAACAATTCCCAACACAAGCATTTCAAGCTAACTTGAAGCCATTATCGGGAGCATCAGGAGGAGTATTTACATCGGATTAACAGTGGTAGAGCCACACGACAGCTTTAGCTGACGCACGGATGGGCCGGCTCGAACCGGGGTGGTACCACGACCTCACAGAATACCAGCGTGAAGTAGAGGTTTACATCTGTGTTTCGCTTGGTGAGTGTAGGTGGCCGGAGGCCCTTTTTACTGGAAATGAGGCATTTCATCTTAATC